TTTGCCCTTCTGTCTGGTACTCACTTCAGTGAGTTTCCCTTAAACTCTTCAGATCCTACAGAGGAAAGGTCAAACTCCCGACAGTCAAAGCCCCTCATTATCTAGCCCCTACTACTTACCTTCGAGCTCTCGTCCCAAGATCTACTAGGCGTTTTCTACTCTGGTTGAAACAAGAATGTCCTGCCTGAACACCAGCACAATTTCCCATCACCCAGCCTTTGCTTATTTCAAGTCCTAATTACTACTTTTATCTGAGCCCTACTCACCCTTTGAAACCTCATTCCAACACTACCGCCCTAAATGAAGCCTTTCCTGACCATATTGCTTAGAAGCATCTGCCATCTCTTCTCTCAGTCCACTACCGGTACCATTCACATGACACAGCAGCTTTTACTTTGCCTGCTTACATTCTTTGCAGGACTGAGCTCCTCTTCAGGAATCAAGATCCATCCAAGTATCTATTTATGTGATATAAGACAGAGTAGGGCTATTTAACATAACTTCTTAGGCTTTTAAAACTCACAGGGTATTTCCTGGAGGTCCAGGGATTGAGACTTCGTGCTTCCACTGCTACAGGCCTGGGTTCAATCCCTAATCAGGGAACTAACATCCGCAAGCCACTGGGTGTGCCCCCCACCTCCCCAAAAATCATGTATCTGTCTTCCGCAAATAAAAGAACTCAGAAGATACCAGTAATGCTTGCTGAATGACTGAAAAACATTCAAAACCAATATAAACAGGTCTTTCCCTACTTTTGTCCTATTAACCTAAAGGCATACTGGGTACTATGCCTCAGAAAATGTGGATCAGGCTACTGCCAAGACCAGCTAAACAACAATTGAAAAGAGAATCATTTTCTTAAAAGCACAAACTAGTTTAGAGGAATCACTGAGCCAAGATCGAGGTAAGACAGAACCCAGACAGCCTAGAACTCAAAGCTGCTCTCTTAAGGTATTTGCTAACATGGAAAAAGTCCCTGGATGCCTGAATTACACTTTTAGGAACACCATGGACTGAAGGAGACAAAAATCAAAAGCTAAGGCCAAGCTAAAAGTGGGAACTCGCCACCACAGACACCTTAAGCAGGGATTCCGAAGTATTACACTTTCAAGATATGGGTGAAACAAAAGGAAACCACTTCTCACATGCACATGGCTGTGTGTTACCTGGATGATCCATGGAACATCCAGCCTTCAATCTCAATTAAGGTTTGGTAATATTCCTAAAAAACAGGCAACCAGATAGCCTTCCTAGGGGTGGATGCTGCATCCTTTTCCTGTTTATTCCTACAAACAATTTTTCAAATATACTGTCCAGCTCACAGATAACCTGGCACAGAGAAAAAACACTGTAAGCAACAGCAGTAAAAACATAAGGTTTATGAATAGTTACTGAAACTTTAGACGAAGTATCACACCACTCCTACAATGAAGAGCTAATTATTTATTTGAAAGTGTGGTGTGGCATTGAGACCTGGAGATTTTTTCCTAGGTAAACCTGCATCTTTTTTCGCTGAAGGTGTCAACCTTATTCAAAGCCCAGGTTAACTCCAACTACAGAAGACCACACATACTCTGAAGGCCTTTGCAAGGAAAGAATCACCAGGCAGCACAGAAGCCATCGTTCCTAACAGCATTCAGTTTACCTTGGTAAGCAGAGAAATTTTTCATCATACCTTGACCTGAGGTGTGACTCCCCCATCCATGATGCACCAAATTTGCCTTGTTTGTAAGCTTTCTAAAATGTCTATTGATGCTACAGTACGAGAACCCACACACTCTTCTATAAAGGGCCAAAGAGTATTTTGACTGTGGACCATACTGTCTCCGGCTCTGGAGTTGCAATGTGAAAGCAGCCACAGATGGAAACAAATAGGTGTGGCAGTATTCCAATGTAACTTTATTTACAAAAAACAGGCCAGTTTGTTGATCCCTGCTAAGTGAGTAACAAAATACAGATTCACTGAAAGGCATCACTGAATTCAGTTGTCATTCATCTTTTATTTTTCAGTCAAACACTTAGAAAGTACAAATTCTAAGAGAACGTAGATTTGATGTTAACAAGGGGCTATTCATTCTGGAAGTTGAGAATCACCAATGCAGAAAGAAAGGGTTTTGGTCTTCAGATCTGATGAAGACCACTGTAAAGAAACCTGCTGTAACATTTTCAAGTGTATACTCTATGTCCCAAACTGTGCTAAATACTTTACATGGAAAATGTAATCTCACATTTGAAAACAAACCCCAATGATGTACATACAATTAACCCTCATTTTACAGACAAGGAAACTATGGCTCGGCAAATTCAGTAGCTTGGCAAGGCTCACACAGCAAATTAGTGGCAGAGCAGACTAAACTCTAGGGCTACAAACATCCAAAGACCATTCCTGTTAACTACTACACGAATCAAGCAATCCTCCCTGCTGGACAGAGAAGACTCACCATGTGGGGAAGGCTGGCCCAAGTTCTTATGTCTCCTCATATTCTTTTTCTCCTTGGGAACTCCTAACAATTATCACTGCTTCACAAACTTTGATCTCCCCTGTACTCCTCTGACCTAGGTATGCCTGGACACTTACTCCCTTCCTTCCCCTTAAGAGGAAGACTTTACTGAAAGATAATGGCATTAAAAACTTTTAAACTAGTTCACTATACACAGCTCTTCTGAGACCACAGGTCCTGGCCGATCCTTACAGGTCTCTGTAGGATGACTTCTTCCCTTGGCCTCGACCTATTTCCATGAGCCAAAGACACTTCCCTACCTGGGAATTGCCCCTAAGTTCAAAGCCCTAGCAATCAAGTTCTAGAGAAAAAAACTTTCACTTGTCTAAACCTTACGCATCCCCATTTTCTGATCTAGGATTCATCTTTTCTCTGCATAAAACATTAAACAAACATGTCTAGTCCCTTTTGAGAAGATCCCAAAACCCAGTCATGGTGGTGTGGTCTTACACCCTGTGGCCCCAAAGGGTAACCATATGATACAATAGCGTAACAATACTGGGTGCAGTGAGAGGGTGTCATCTTCTTCCTTATAGAGACCTACTCTATTTCCCACCCAGAAGCCATTTAGTAGTAACGGGGCTGACACCAGAGGCAGTGAGCTAGCATATCACACTGACTCTGTATCAAAAAGGCTTCAGAGAAGCAGCATGCCCCACTCTTGGTCCATCCTTCAGGATGTCTGATGCCCCCACAGCTGCCCTCCCCTTGTCTTGCTGTGACTATCCCACTGTAAGGCCACTCATTACAGCCACTGCTATTCTTCTCTTCCAGGAAGAAGTGACTACCCTGGACAAAGAAGAGATGAAACACATTACCCTTCAAATATGAAGTCAAAATAATTCTTTAATAATTAAAAGATCACTTCTGGGCTTTAAAAAGTCTTTAAATCTTAAATGTAATGTTGAAATGGAGAAATAGTTATAGCAGCCTCACATAAATTATTTGAATTAATAAACATATCACAGTATTAAGAAGGCAAGGTAAACAAATAGCTTAAGTATTTTATTTGTTTGCAACTAAGCTTATTAACACTATATAATGAAAATGTACAAAGAATAATGTTGTTGTTTTGGTTAGATTTAAGTCAAAGACATTCATTAATAAGGAATCTTCAAATGTGAATATTCCAGAAATTTTTCTAAGTCATATGATCAGGACAACTGTCTCTGAATATTACCTTACTTTGGAAGGTACTGGCATATGTTTGAATTAAACTTTGTTTTTTTTTCCCCAAAATAAGCCTTAATTAAAAAAACTAGTCTATGTTCAAACTAAAACAATTTTCATAGAACTTTCCTTTCCAGAAACAATAATAAAGGAAACAAGGCATTTTGTAAAATGTGGTCCTGAACAAGTCACAGTAAAAAATAATGTAGACTTAACTTCTACCTCCTCAAAACAGAGGCTACTTTCTGTTCCTCAGTCTTGGAAATAAGGTGAAGAACAGTCTGTAAGCAACTTTGGGCAGGGGTTGCCAAAACAAAGCTTAAGCAGTTGAACACGGACATCTCTTACAAGAATTTGGGGGAACCTGACCAAAGGATCCAAATTCTATTTTTAATAACTGATACAAAGGTGAAGTGGCTCCTCCCAAGCAGCAGTGCCTCTGGGGCCTGTCCTAGCCCGTGCCCACCTTTGTTATGCTCCCAATCAAACCCTGATGCTCTTGTTCCAGAGGAGACTTTTTCCTTCTGAGAGGTTCAGTGTCCAGGGAGCTCCCGTGTGAATGAGGTGAGCACAGACTCCAGGTGGGTTTTTAAGGCTTGGAGTCAAAGTAACGTTCTAACACGGCGAGGCAGAATCAGATGTCAAACGGCCTGTCTCCAGTTTGTTTTAATTCCTCACCACACATTTGTAGACCTAGGACCACAGACCTTTTCTATGTCATCATAATCACATCTAATGTCCATCCTAACTTATGATTCATATTTTGTGCCTGGAAACAGTCCCTGTATTTAACAATAATACCTACACATAAAACAATCCACTGTTACAACTTATATGGTCACAAAACATTAATGATCTTCTGTAGACCAAGCAAATGTTTTTAACCATAATTGTCGTGCATCAAATTCACAGCCAGAATCCCCAAGATCAAAGAAATTTGCACAATACAAATAATAACTTAAAATACACATACACACATATACACACACTCTCACACACACTTCTTACAGAACTGTGCTTGGGGAAACTCCATTTGTTGAGTGCCACTGAGGGCATATTTTTGCTAAACTGCTGCTCCAGGTGTTTTTGTTTGAAAAATCTATCACAGTAGGGCACAGCTGTTTATTCGATGAGCAGAAAAGAAAGATATGCTTGTGGCAACCAGAAAGTTTTAAGGTCTTTCAAGTTGTATAAAATGGACCTGCAGAAACATTTAAGTGTTCTCAGGATGCAAAGTCGGAGCTGAAATGTGATATCAAACCAGTTGCAAAAAGTGTACAGCAGCCATCTCTTGAGGTCAAACCTGGTACCCAGATATGCAAGAAAGTTTCAGGACACATCTATAAATTAGGAATAAAAAACAAAAGAGTTAAGAATACTAAAAATATAGGGTCATGCTTTTTTAATATTAACTAATGATGAATGTGATAAACAGTATGGAGGATACGAATCACCATTCAAAAGGTCCTAAATTCACAAGAATTTAAGAAAGACAGTTCTTTCTTAAGAACTTAAACTCAGTTTACATATATAGCTATTTATAATTTATGTTTTGAGCAACTAGTAGTGACATGATCTTTAGAATTAAGAAATTCTGAACACACACTTGATAAGCTGGCTTAAGGACTCAATTTTCATAAATTAACAGCTGAAACTACCTTTCTGAGGGAAGTCAGGTAATAAATTGGCACTGAAGTCAGACTACCTGGGTTTTAATCCTGGCTGAACCACTAGCGATATGAGCTTGGACAAATCATTTAACTTGTTTAAACACTCTGACCTTTAAAATGGGACAAGTTGTAGTTTCTCCCTCACAGGGGAATTATGGATTAAACTTTGGGAAGATTTAAAAGGTTCCACACAGTGCTGAACATATAAGTATTCTTTAAATGTCATCTATTATTTTACTTCATGGGGCTTTTTGCTCCCAAGAGACAAGGTACTCGGTGTCAAAATCTTGCTCTTGGAAGTTGAAAAAGTCAATGAAAAACTTGGCAATACTTACAGCTTGTTGGCCTTGTCCCATATCGTCGCATAATCTGATCATGTGTGAATTTCACAAAAGATTCATATTGTTCTGTGAGGGGAAAGACAGTATATAGTATCCCCAGAAACTCTCCCACAGTTTTTCAAGAATCAAGTGTCAGAATCACGTATAGCTTCCCATTTAACATTACCCACTCTTAGGTCCTCCTTATAATGGTCACTCTGAGATCTATTCCTTTTTCTTAGATCCCAGAGCCAAATCCCTAGCTTCTAGGTTTGGTCACTGATCATCTCTAACCTTTTCCTAATAATCTCACCCCTGCCATTAATTCCATCTCCTGCTAATGGCTCCCCAAGACAGCAGCTGTGCGTACTACTATTAGTCAGCAAATTTTAGTGTATCTCCTATAGGACATGAAGCTTGAAGCTCTTTTCTGCACTTTATCTTTGCTATAAATGTCAACATACACATTGAGTGACAGAGGTGGAATGGCTAGAAAGCTAGGAGAAAATTCCACAGTACCTAACTATAGACTGTTCCACAGAAGTTACCTTCTGAAGAGAAACTCAGGAGAAAGACAGAAGGCAGTCTGACATCCGTGAACAAAGTCGTCCAAACAATTTTGGAGTGGGGGCAGAAGAGGGGAATGACATACTATAGCTTCTTCTTATAATACACATCATTAGTGTATTAAAGGATCAAAGAGGTTTTGCTTTAAAGAAATTCATTTAACTCTGTTAAGTGAACAGTTCTCAATTTAAAGCCAACCTATTGACATTCTGTAATGTGGGCCACCACGTGAGAAAACAGTAATGTTATAGGAAGAAGTTGTTGCCTAAAAACCTCTCTGATCACATCATCCTCTCTCACTAAACAGGTACTACTTTCTATTCTTGATTTAGATCCCTTCCTTTTACAAAAGGCTTTACTTGTGCCATCACTAATCACTCTGTTCTAGCCTGAGCGGTGCTTTCCAGACATTAAAGTACCTCTAAATCACAGGACATCTGACTTCCCACATCCACAAAGGGACTCCCACCAGAAGTCTGAATATGTTGACTATACTCTTCCCAACCACATGTTTGGAGGTTAGCATGATCCCTACCCACCTGTCTACCCACCAGCTAGTCCAAATAACCTTCTCAATACCTTTATTCATATGGAAAACTCTTGAAAGAAAAGCCTGGCTTATCTTGTTTTGAAAATGTAAATGAAAGTCCTTCCATACAATGTATAAATAAAATGCTTAGAATCTAAAAGAGTGTAATCAAGAAGAGTAACTTAATACTTAAAATTCATTAAACTCTCTGGTATTAAGTTTTATGCTTTTTCTAAGTTACCACTTACTTAACCAGGATTAATCCTTACTGAATCCTGTTAACGATGGTCATAGCCACTGCGTCAGCCTACCTGCTAGTTTAGTATTGAGGATTTGCTCATATTCCTCCCGAATTTTATCTTCATAGTCTTTTAAGAGACGCTCACATATTATTCCAACTTGTCGGAGGGTAAAGGTGGGCTGGTCCTTTTTCATCCAGGAGGAACCTGGCCAAACGACAAATCTAGTTTACATAACACATCCCAGCTGTATAGAGTTCTAAATTGGTAACTAAGCAGAGTCCTAGAATATAAAAATTGTTTTTAAAAATAGTAATTTCCACCACTTTACAATACATGGAATAGTTTCATAAAATTGTGTCTGACATTCATTCTACACGGCAAATTTAGTAGGAAGAAAGTGTGTTCAAGTGTGCTAGCTTATCTGCACACAGAAAATTGGTTCTGATACCATTAATAATCTGAGCCCATACATAATGCTCACCTGGCAAAGAACAAAAAGGTTAAAGCTGATATAAAGACTGGATTAGAGAAAACGGATTCACAGTGTAAGAGCTGGGCTTCCCTGGTAACTCAGCTGGTAAAGAATCTGCCCACAATGCAGGAGACCCCGGTTTGATTCCTAGGTAGGGAAGATCCCCTGGAGAAGGGGATAGGCTACCCACTCCAGTATTCTTGGGCTTCCCTGGTGGCTCAGGTGGTGAAGAATCCACCTGCAACGTAGGAAACCTGGGTTCGAAAGATCCCCCGAGGAGGGTATGGCAACCCACTCCAGTATGCCTGCCTGGAGAAGCCCACAGTCCATGGGGTTGCAATGAGCTGTACATGCCTGAGCAACTAAGCAGAGCATAGCACACCTAAGAGCCACCCTGATCCTTGGAGATCTCTACACCTGTGTTTAATCATGGTAGTACACCATAATTATCTGTAGAATAAACAATAACAAAAAAGATACATATTGATTTAATTCTGGGGTAAAAGGGCTTGAGGAATTGTTTAAGTTACACAGGTGATTCTGATAAGAAACAGCTGACCTGCCCGATATAAAAAACTGTTAAGTCACTGACGTATGAAGGAAAGAGACAATTAGACACTACACATCTCATCTTTGATCCCTTTGAAACTAGGTTGAGGAAAATCAAATGTTCATAAGATTGCAGCTGGAAACCAAAATTTCCACTGGGATGCCAGATGGAAATTGGCTTCCTGATCATGATAAAAGCAGCAGCTCTGCCCCAGTTCTGAATTTTCCTCAAAGCTCAGCCTGAAATCTGTTTCTTGAGCCCTCTTAGTCTATAAACCAGTTAAATTATTTATAATTGTTTCTCTACTCATAATATTGTATTACTTCAAAATTATATTACTAAAATCCCAAGAGAATATTAAGGAGACTTGCTAGTTACAATCACCAAAAGATCTATCACTCATGTATGTGCAAGAACATACACATATTGGAAAGGGTGTTGTCTGAGAGCCAAGACCTCTGGGTTGTAAGAAGACAATTTAAATAAAAATTATTTGATGTGAAATTCACATAAAATGAACCATTTTAAAATTGAACAATTCAGTGGCATTTAGTATAGTCATAATGTACAACCACCACCTCTATCTAATTTCAAAATATTTCCACTACTCCAAATAACACCCCTTTTTACCCATTAACAATTTGTCCCAATTCCCCACTCTCCCTACCTCCTGGCTAACATTAATCTGTGTTCTATAAGGAGACTAATTTTAATCAAGGCAATTTTTAACTCTAAGAACTGTTAAAAGGAGAATATTCTGTGAGGAAATAAACTCTTCTACTGTTTAAGTAGGCAGAGTTCACTACCAGTGGTGGTGTTTGAGCCCTGGCCTGTTGACGACTTGCAGGGACTCATGGCTGAACTATGTGACCATGAAGGTTCCCTCCAACCCTGAGATGCTATTTTTGAGCACATCGTCTCTGACCACCTGTCAATGTTATACAGCAATGCTGTCACATACTTACTCCAATAACGGAAATGTTCTATAGTGCTGTCTAATACAACAGTCACAGGTGGCTGGTTAAGTATTTGAAATATGGCTACAGCAGTTGAGAAACTAAAATTTTATTAAATGTTAAATAATTTAAAATTAAACAGCTACATGTGGCTACTGGCTATGGTACAAAATGCTACAGTTACAAAGGGTACTCTTGAACTGGATGGAAGGAAGGTCAATCAAATCAATCTAAGTAAAGTTCTTTTGCAATTTCATGACTATGGTTTTAAAAGTATTTATAAGTAGTAATATAATGTATACACTTTACCAATTTTATTACTTAGATGAAATCAATTCTGGTTTAGGAAACCATTTTAATTACCGATTACAAAGTCTTAAATGGATTATGCACACTAAAACATGCTTACCTGGAGAACTAGGTGCTGCGAGTGTTGAGGAGTGAGGCTGACTTTCCGAAGTACAAGCTTCACTCTGATTAAGAACAACTTCTAAATGTCTCCACCTCTGATAACGACTATATTCTTGTTTTATGTTCTGAAAAATTTGCTCTAATAAAAAAGAAACACACTTGAGCATGCACTTTATTGTTACTTCTTCACGCTTCCTGTCCCTCTTTCCATGTTATATTAACAAGAAAAATGTTTATAGCAGATAAAGTACTCCTATAGCTCCTGAAGTGCTCCCTCTTACTGCCACTGTTTCAGTAATTACATACGGCAGCAGCTATTTTGGCATAAACCACCCAGATATTAATAGTTCCCTTTGCTTCTTTTCCTGTGACAATGATGACCAGATCTGCGGTTTGCTGTAGGATTAACTAGGACAACTTACAGCAACAAATAAATAAACAAAGCCATCCTTCACCTAATAAAGAGCTATTTTTGATCTCTGTTGAGTTGCAATTTCACAAACCAGGGAATTAAGAGTCTCTTACTACCCAAGGGCTTCTAACAATGAAACTCTTGTCCTGTTTGGGATTTAAGATCTTCGGGGAAGGGGACAGCAGAAATCATTAGGTTCACAGCTTGGACACTGACCAAGAGAAGATCTGACATTATTGCTTGGAACGGGTGGTCAGAGCTTAGCAATAAATTTTCTGATCCTATAAGAGGCAGTATTTGGTAGGATTCAGATTACTATTCTGTAGGTAATAAATCAATTTGCTAATGCTATTAAAGGGAGTCCAAAACACACAAATCACTAACCACCCTTAAGGCCTCTCCCAGAGACAATACAGAATCTGAAAGGATGTGGTTTTCAAGTTTTCTGGTGTGGGGGTGTGTGTGTGTTTTGGCAAAGGGGGGGGGGGGTAGTAAAACATGTATTCACTTTCCAGATAACAGAGCTTCCTCATAAAAAACAAAAACCAGGAAGCTGTATCACTCTTCCTAATTACATTATTCTTATAGTTGCTATAACCATGTATTTTTTAAACCAGGGGTAATTGCTAATAATGCCATTGTTTCCTTCCTACCTATGTGACTATGACCCTGGGAAATCATTCAGGATTAGTAGCCTAGTACTTCAAAACTAATGTTAAATGTCTACCCCAAAAGTTGTGAGCATCTACAACAAAGACATTAATAATGCCAGAAATGATGATACAGTCTGACATGAGCTCAATGTAGCTCCACACATAGCTCAACTCCAGAATTCTCAGCCTGAACACTGGAACAATGTAGGATTAGCAAACCTTTCCTTTCAGAGTACTATGAAGTTCATGTTTTAGATCCCTGAATTTATGAAGTCTCTGCTTCATCTTCAAAATGTATTATTCTCCAAGCACATACTTGCCAGAATCAATATAAGGACGTAAGGAACTGCAAAGACTTGAAACAAGAGAGGACAAGTATGAGGACAATGCTCGTGAGAACAGAAGGTCTTTGATAAACTTCTAACCGCCTCCTGTATAACAAAGTGAACAAATGGAAAGATACAACATTAAGGCTGGCAGAAGGACTGGCAAGTCCAAGAGTCCAAACATGGTATGCACAGGATAAAAAGAAGTATTTGTGATTTTCCTCCCAAGAAGGGCACATAAAACAGGAAAAGACATTTAAAAAAAAATTAACAGTGGTTAATAATTTAAATTCTTGCCTCCCATTATTATTTGAGATTGTACTTCCAGGTTATACCAAACTAAGCCCATCTTCAAAATTCTACAATGGCTTCTGGTTGCCACAGACCAAATTCAAACTCTTGAACACGGTATCCCTTGCCTTCCAAGACCTGGCCCCAAATTATTTTTCCAGTTCCATCTCCCACTACAATCCAGTTGCCTTAAACTATCCTTTCTTTAACCTGTGGGTTTTCTGGCCTTTGCTCTAACACTTTTCCTTTGCTTGATCTGAGGTTGTCTCTCCCCCTAACATTACTCAAGACCCAGCTAAAATGTTATCTCTTTCTGAGTTATTCTCCAAGCCTCAGGTCATGATCAATTATTAATTAACTGTTTTAATTCTAAACTCAATCCATGTTTACAAACATCTCCTGGAGGTCATCAAGTCCCTTCCATGCCTGGTATACACCTAGTTTCTTTAAACAATACAAAAGACTTAATTTTATAGGCTCCTTCCATAAGAAGTGCTATAAAACATAACCCCCCCCCCTTTTTTAAGTTCAGTAAGAACAGTTTGACTATTTCTCAGAGAACTTTTGAGTTAACTAGGATATTTTAAAATGAAGTCAGATTTTTTAATTCACTCTTCTATTAGTTGGCTTTATTCCTTTTGTATAGCAACTAATATTTTCTCCCTCATTCTTCCATTTTAATCCATAAGGCATCTTCCACTTAAGCCAAAGCAACAAATCATATTGGCTCGTCCATGCCAGAATCATATTCCAATAAGCATTAAGAAACATAACTGATCAATCTTTACAAATGAATATTTTAAATAAAATACTTTCACATAAAATGACCAAGAAATCCATGCAAAAATTAAATTTTATGATTAAAAAAACCCCAGCGACCCCAGTATAGCACTCTGCCACATTTAGGCTTCCAAATACATTCAGCAATTACTTACTAAGCATTTGCTATATTGTAAACTACACAGAATTAATCTGATGGTAAAACTGTAATAAATAAAAAATTTACATAAAATCCATCAAGATCAGTGAGCCAAGTATTAATTCTATTTTGCAGAAGAGCGATCCAGAAAGATTATGTGACTAAACTTGGGTATCTTTAGCAGTGGAAGAAAAATATATCTTTTCAAGAGGGTATCTATGTCCCCTGCTTTTGCAAACATTATTTCATTCAGTACACAAGGCCTTGCAACATTAAGTGATCAGACAATTAAAATAGAATAGAGTTTCTTATGGGGCAGGGTTAGTCAGGTAAGGATGGAAGACTTGAAGAAATAATTGTATTTATTAGCAAACAGGTGAAAACATCATGATGGAAGTCAAGGATAAGGTACAGCCAAGTGGGGCTGGGGGAAAAAAAGCAAAGGCATAGTTTTGGGGGAAAATGTATAAAAGACTGAATAGGCAAGAAATGGCTATAGCAGATAAATCCTTTGAATACCAAGATAAAAGGAGTGGTGAGATGAACGTGAGTAAATGACACAGTGCCTAGGAGAGCCTGGCTGGCTACCGCTGAGATCTTGGTGTGAGAGGATGAGGGGCCTCAAATCTGCATTGTGGATATGCACTATGCAGAGTGGGGAGAAAAGAATGGCTAAAGACACTGGTAACTGAAAGGGGTAAGAAAAGAGAGATTTTAAGGCAACCTCAAGGTTTTGCTAACGCTTGAGGAATAGAAAAACACAATGAAATGAGTTGCCAAAGTCCAGTGGTGAGCCACCCTCCCCCCCCCCCATTTTCCGGGAGCCCTTTAAAACTGCTAAATATTCATTTTGATGCACCTTTCCCTCTATCCTTGCGCTGTGATTAGAAGCTGAGTTTTTTTCTTTCTTTTTTTAACTTTATTGTCACACCAGTTCTCGTCTTTCCCTGGCCCGTGTGGAATGCCTTATTGAAAGAGAATCTCTGTTACGGATAATTGAATTTCTGCTTCCGGAGCCTCTGTACGTTGAATGATTCTCAAATTCTAGCTAACGATCTACCGATTTCAAGCCAAATATGGTGCAAGACAATAGCCATACAATAAAAGAACATGGCCAGTCTCTTAGAAACAGGTTGAAATCGGATTCCACGACTTCGAGGGCGGCCTGAGATCCCTAAAGACTTCTGGAAATCAGGTCTCCCTACAAGTCCCAGCACAGTGCTTCACAGCACGTTCTCAGGCCCCTTCCCAGTAACCCGCCCCCAACCCCCACACCCTCAAGGCCAGGTTCGTGAGCAGAATCCAATTTTCCATGGCCCACTGGATCTGCAGGGCGGCTCAGTACAGGGGAGGGCAGCGGAGAAAGGAGAGACTCCGAGGCCTGGGAGGGTTCCGAGCGGCCGGGGCTATTTCCATCTTGCTTCCTCTACCCACTCAAGGCTCCCCAGCTCAAGGAAAACCGAAAACCGACTCTGTGGCCCTACTACCCCTCCCGGATGTCTTCCATCCCCGGAAGCGACAAGGCCCAGCGGCACCCCTGTTCCCTTTTCTCGGGGCAAAGAAGGGGTCCGTAAGTGAACTAGCCTAGCGTTCAGGATCCTCTTCCACCCCCACCCCACCCCACCCCCAAAAATGCCTGGGCCTGGCTTCCTGCCAAGCCCGCAGCGTTGGTTACCCGGAGTTGGAAGGCGCCGCTCGCTGCCGGGCGGGGCGGGCTGCTGCAGAGTCGGCGGTGGGGTCTGCGTCTGAAGCAGCGGCGGCGGTTCGGCGTCCGGGGGCCTGAGGCCCGGAGTGGGGCCAGAGAGAGGGGCGCAGCGCCGCCGCTTCGGAGAGCCAGGGCTCAGCAGCGCCGCCTCGAACTCCATGGGCCGCTTCAATGTCGCCCCGCACGCCATGCCGCTGAAAGACCAGGGACCAGGAGCCGACGCGGTTGTAACTGAGACCCAGCCTCCCGCTCCTCAGCGGAGCTCGCAAGCCAAGCCGGCGCCAATGGCGCCTCCAGCACCCGGCAGCAGCGCTGGCCCCGCCTCCTGTGACGTCACGGGCCAGCGCCACCACCCAGCGGAGGGGGGAATCCGGAAGAGGGCCGCTCTGGGAGGTCCGTCAGCAACGTTCTGGACCGCGGCGCCCCCTACTGAGGAAATGGAACGATCTGGGCGGAGAGTTTGGTCACCAAGCAACCTCGGGAAGGCCCCCACCTCCGCGTCTACCGCTCCCAGGGTCCATCCTCCCCCCACCTTCCAGAGCCGAAGCGCCCGGGTGGCCCCTTAGGTTTTCGCACCTGCGCGAATGGGAATTGGGGGAAGGGACAGCCTGGAGGGGCCTGTCCAGAGGCTATGGGGGTCTGTTTCTTCCGGTCCGGTTACCTCATTCCATCCAAGCCGCTCCAGTCCCAGTGATAAGAGAGACGGTTATACTAAAAGTTCTACAAGGTCATTGCCCTCCCACCCCCAGTCCAGGAATGCCTTCACTTAAACGAAATCCAGAATCTGAGGATGGACTTTATGGACGTCCATCAACCCCATAAAATTGTATGCAGAATTGCGTGTGTGTGTATGTATCTGTGACCCGTATCTTTATCAGCTCATCAAAGGGGTATGTTGCTCAAAATAGTTAAAAACAAACAGAAAACACGCCCCTGGTTTGAATCATCTAAGAATAGTGTCAGAGTGTTAAGAACTTGAGCTGACAGCTGATTTGCCAGGCCTCCTGTTTGACCTGGCAGCCCAGGTGCTTCCTCAGGTCTGTCTGAATTCTTTGAAGCGGGGCCAGCTATAAAGTACTTTTGATATTCTGGAAAGATGAATAGAAAACTGGAGCGTTCTGTTTTCAGAAACTTTATGTGAAAGTCTATTACTGGTAAGCAGTTTCAGTGCTTTCAAGAGATGGTCAAAGGGATCTGTGATCGAAAAAAGGCTAAATCAAAAAAAGAAAGAAAAAAAGAAAAAGAAAAAACTAAATCTATCCTGTAACTACATATATATGTATATATATACGTATAAATATATGTGTATGTATATATATATATATATATATATATATAAAATGGTCATACCTGCTGGGATCTGTCTGCCTAACCACATCTCTGGGATTTTCCTAAACAGTCCAATTTTCAGATACTGTCTTCTGCTAGACCTTATGCCAGATCAGTGTGGCCCAGTATTTGAGTCAGAGAAAATGGCAATACTACCTCAAGTTCCATTGTTTGCATCATTCTGTTCCATTTCTTTGTCCTTCCCAGTTTCTCCCAACTTTTTTTAACATCCAAACATAGGTTTTTTCTTTACATTTATCTTTGACAAATAGCAGAAATAATTCTAAAATGACTGAACATACTAAATGTTTAGCTTATTTTATCCTATTTCTTTTCCATAAGGACATAAAGGTACACAACAGACAAAAACAATACAAAAAACACAAGAGCAACAAACAAACCAAACTCCTAGAAATAGAGCACTAGGGCCAAAGAAAAAGGAGATCACAATTATCCTGAGGGTAAACATGGCTGTGACTGAGTTTAATATTTTTGTTCTCAGTCTTCTAGCTGCCAAGGCAAAAGTGAAAACACAGTACATGTTCAATAGATCTTGTCATCTGAAAGGAATCAGTTTGGCAGAGAAGACAGACCCATAAATTTTTTTTTTTCATAACACTAAATTCTAAATATGATTTCTCATGTGACTTGTTAGGAACCAGTAAATGATGTAATAAAGCAAATAACAGATTTAAACAACAAATGCAAAGCAAAAATTAAATTGATATTTCTTATGTCCAATAAAAGCCAAGGACATAAAAGTAACCTAGGGATGGTTGTTTTTTAAGGGACTTGTCTAACGTGGTTCAAGCCAATTGCTTTCTTGTGGTCTAAACTGGTCCAGAATTAGAGCTCAGAAGGTTTGAAAAGTGTGTCCCTTGGGTCATTGCTCTCTAAATAGCACCTCTTCTAGCGAGGGCTTTGGTAAATGCTTTGATAGTGTCTTCTCTGTGATACTTTAAAATTTTGAGAGTGTCTTGTAATATTAGTGTTTTAAAATAGGAAGTTATAATTTGTTTACATGTCTGACTGTGCTTCAGAGCTATAAATTCCTTGAGAATAATAACCGAGCCTCATTCACGTGTGTTTCCCCATTGCCAGTACACTGCTCCGGGAGTTGGTGGTGGACAGGGAGGCCTGGCGTGCTGCGATTCATGGGGTCGCAAAGAGTCGGACACGACTGAGCGACTGAACCGAACTGAACTGAACTGAGGCACAGAAGAAATGTTGGTCAAATAAATAAATAAATGGTTATCATTTCAAGATTGTGCTGTGTCGTCCCCGAAAGCCGATAGTCCACATTGCTGAATGAGCGTGGATTTAGTTGATTCAGAAACCAAACAAGTAGGTGCCACTGAAGATGACAGTGGTCCAACCCGTGACATGTCCTTGAGGGAAGCAGATGGGCTACTCTGGCATCTTCTTAGTGTGAAGTCTCCTTATGAGGTCATTACCACGGTTCAGGTCCGCTTTGCTTTGCATACTCAGATACTTGCCCAGTCATGCACATACACCACGTACACGACTAATTACCCACCATGGACCAGACACTGTATTATCATGGCTGAAGATACTATGGTATAGACAGAGATATGGTTCCTGCCCTCCTAGGGCTTCCAGTCTACTAGAGATGACAGACATTAATCAAACTGTAACAACGACAACTGTATAATCACAAGCTGTGGCAAGTATGAAGGAAAAAGACAAGATACGATGAGAGAGTACAGTAGAGGTCTTGTCTTGGAGAACAATGAACAGTTCCCTGAAGAACTGATGAGAGAGCTAATTCCTAGTTATGTTGATAAGGAGTCCAGGGCCCTCAAGGAGGAAGGGGTCCAGGGCCCTTGAGAAGAAGATAAAGGGGCCTGGGGCTCTGGAGGAGGAGAAAAGGACAAACCTTTTTCTCCTACATTGCTTTGTCTTAGTCAATATAACAATGTATCTGGCTTGAGGACATGTTTCTCCTTAACAAGAACCTTTTGACTAATCTTGTTATTTTTTTAAAATCTTGTTATCTTAAGACACAAATTGTGGGAGAGGATCTGGTAAGAGCTTTCTATTGTTAGCTCTAATCTTGTTAATTTAAGATCTATGTTATAGGAGTATGTCTGGTAAAAGTATATAAGGCCTTGATAGGACTAGATAGGGGGGCACTCTCAGTCCCCCTCCTGACGTCTATATCAGAAGCTTTTTCTGCCCTTTTTCACTTTAATAAAACTCTGCTACACAAAAGCTCTTGAGAGATCAAGCCTGGTCCCTGGTGCCGAAGCTAAATCTTCTTCGGAGATCACAAGTCTGACATCGTTCACTGTAAACCATCAGTGACATCTGAGCTAGGAATTAACTAAGCAAAAAGAAGTTGGGAACACCCCGAGCCAAGGGGACAGCATATCTGAAGTCCAGTGATAGAAAAGATATAATGTGTTTGAAGAATCAAAAGAATCTCAAGTGGCTGTGGTGCAGAGCATGAATGCAAAGTCTGAAGAGGAAAAACCAATGCAGAAGGCTAGTGCCTGAGCACTTAACACCTATCAGTTCAGTTCAGTCACTCAGTCATGTCTGACTCTCTGCAGACACTGTGGACTGCAGCATGCCAGGCTTCCCTGTCCATCACCAACTCCCGGAGCTTGCTCAAACTCATGTCCATCGAGTCAGTGATACCATCCAACCATCTCATCCTCTATCATCCCCTTCTCTTCCTGCCTTCAACATTTCCAAGCATCAGGGTCTTTTCTACAGAGTCAGTTATTTGCATCAGATGGCCAAAATTTTGGAGTTTCAGCTTCAGCATCAGTCCTTCCAATGAATAATCAGGACAGATTTCCTTTAGGATTGACGTATTGGATCTCCTAGCAGTCCAAGGGACTCTCAAGAGTCTTCTCCAACACCACAGTTCAAAAACATCAATTCTTTGGCACTCAGCTTTCTTTATGGTTCAACTCTCACATCCATACATGACTCCTGGAAAAAACAAAGCTTTCACTAGATGGACCTTTGTCAGCAAAGTAATGTCTATGTTTTTTTAACATGCAGTCTAGGTTTGTCATAGCTTTTCTTCCAAGAAGCAAGCATCTTTTAATTTCATGGCTGCAGCCACCATCTCCAGTGATTTTGGAGCCCCCCAAAATAAAGCCTCTCACTATTTCCATTGTTTCCCCATCTATTTGTCATGAAGTGATGGGACCGGATGCCTGGTCTTAGTTTTCTGAATGATGAGCTTTAAACCAACTTTTTCACTCTCCTCTTTCACTTTCATCAAGAAGCTCTTTAGTTTTTCACTTTCTGCCATAAGGGTAGTGTCATCCGCATATCTGAGGTTATAGTTGTATAATATTACAAGGAACCTCCCACCTCCTGACACACAACAAATTCTTTGCTATCCCTACCTGGGAACATTTCTATGGTAGTTCATTCACCCTGTGGATGCTCAACAATAGGTCTGAGACTCTGTTTACTGGTGCCAGCAGTTGTCTGACCCAGGAGGATGGCTGGGCTAAAGTTGGGGCTGGGAATGCAAGGACCAAAGGATAGCGTCTTCCAAAATCTTCTGGAATTCTTTGCCCAAACTTTCCATAGGAATTTTTTTATAGTGGCTATTTCCCACCCACCATCCATCAACCCACACCAGTCTGACTCCACCCCTTGTGTTCCACTAAGGCAGGTAAATACCAATGATCAAGGTATGGACGGAAGTGGACTGACATGAGCAAGGTTTCCGAAGATGAAATGAACAGATCTTGGTGAGGATTAGGTATAGAGGTAAGAGAGAAGAAAGACTCAGGTGTGATTCCTTGCTTCTGGCTTTCTCAGCACCATTTTCTGAGAAAGATTTCATTGGACAAGAACCAGACTAGGAAAAAGAAAAAGAACCAGACTAGGAAGAAGATATGAATGTAGTTTTGGAAATGTTGAATTAGAGGTTCCTTTAAAGGACTACATGGGATTCTCAAGTGTGATGTGTGTAAGTGTGTATGTGTAAATTTGTGGGCCTGGAATTCAGGACAAGCATAGATTGGAGAAAAAAAAATTGACAGTCATTGCTGTAGAAATGGTCACTGAAGTCGTAGAAGAAGATGCAATTGTCTGGAGTACGCATTCTTACCCTTTTTTTTCCTGTGAAACAAAATCTTTCTCTGAATGTTTTTAAATGTATGAAATAAAATACATATGATTTCAAAAGAAAGCTCATATATATTTAATAATAGATTCATTTTCATATAGTCTATCAATATCCACT